AAAGATGTTTTTGTTTTATTAGGGTGTAATTTACTTAGGTAGAGCTTGAGTGGTACAAGGAAATCGTAGCTGAAATCCACATATCAGCACTTTAAAGGGTTTGGTAATTTTAGTTTTGAGACATTCTCTTTTTTAAAACATGTGTGTCCTGGAGGCTCTGTTAAAACCACAGGTAATTGTCTTCAGTACTTATATTTTCTTTCCTATTTACTTAAGGAAACCCTCTGAGCAAAAAGCATCAAGAATATTAAATTTCATTACAATAAGTACATATCTGCTTTGCCTGCGAGGCTGTTCTTATATTCACATTTTGCAGGACATAACCTTTACTGAGTAATACTTGAGTTATTGCTTCAATTTTTATGGCAAATAATGGAATGCTTTATTTGATATTATTTAGTTTACTCTTATCAAATGTAGATAGGACTAGCCTGAAAAAATTGTCAAGGACGTTGTGCTGCTTACTAGATATAATAAACCTATATATAGTTCCTTTGAGGAGAAAATTTTATCTTATTGTGGAAATGGCTTTTCAGTAAAGTCATGTGAATATATTCATAAACATGTTTAATTCATTGGCAAAATACAATAGAGATAGCTAATGCAGAATTAACCTGCTAAATTAAAATGATGGATCTCTCCAAAAACATCGATCAAACATCCAAACACTTGAAAATTGGGAAATTCAAAGGAGAAAATGATGTCCTGACCCACGCATCAGAATCTTATTTTTTGCTGGGTTCAGCTCAGATCTGATACTCACCAAAGAAAACTTGCCTCTTTGTGTGCAAAGCTTCTTAACAGCTTTCAGGTAGCTGTCCCTTCTCCTTGCTGTGTGTAGAGCAGGTGTAGCTTTTCTGGGCTGGAGTTAGATGGGCAGAGGATCAGCGTTCGGTACTCGGAGTTCGCACAGTGTGTGAGTGGGGCTGCTCGTCCATGTGTTCACTGTGCTTGAGAGGAATCAGCTGCCAAGGACATGCAGAGGTGTGTCCCCAGGGACAGTTATGGTGACTTTGGGAGAACCTGCAAGGACAGTTAGTTTCAGATGTCTGCCTTTTAGGACTCAACTTTGTTGTCTTTTCTGAATTCAGATGTGTAGCATTCTTTATCCATTTACTTCCTTACAGTTCAGATTCTTTCATGTATCCTTAATGTAGATCTTTCTTCCCTTACTGGTGTCAGAGTATGTTTGCTTGTGTATGAACCTGAGCAGGCGAATAATTTTGAAGTTTTTATTGGAGGTGATCGTCCCATTCTGCTCTGCACTGGGGCGACCTCACCTCTAGTACTGGGAGCAGTTTGGGCACCACAGGATAAAAAGGATCTAAAGCTGCTGGAGAGTGTCCAGAGGAGGGACACAACATTGGGGAAGGGTTTAGAAGGGAAACCCTAGGAGGAGAGGCTGAAGTCACTTGGTTTGTTCAGCCTGGAGAAGAGGAGACTGAGAGGAGATCTCATGGGGGTCTAGAACTTCCTCCCAAGGGGCAGAGGAGGGGCAGGCGCTGATCTCTTCTCTCTGGCCACCAACGAATGCCAGGAGCAGAGGACATGGCAGGAAGATGTGGCAGGGGAGGGTGAGGTTGGCCATGAGGAAAAGGTTCTTGAGGCAGAGGGGGGTGGAGCACTGGAACAGGCTCCCCAGGGAGGTGCTCATGGCCCCAAGCCTGACAAGATTCCAGCAGCATTTGGCCAACATGTGCCCTCAGGGACATGGTCTGAATGTTGGGCTTGTCCTGTGCAGGGACAGGAGTTGGACTGGATGATCCTTGTGGGTCCCTTCAGCTCACAACATTCCATGATTCTACAATCCTATTGCATAGCAGTTATGGTTTGTCAAACCTTTCATCTGCCTGCAGTGACCTGTGTGCGTTTTTCTTCAGTTCTGGGTCCTCTTTGTTCTACGGTTGGATCCCAAGAGCTTGCAGTGTCAGTCCAGATTCACTAAGGGAGGACTTTTCATTAGCTCTGAGGAGAATTGGCCATGAAATTTTTAGACTATGCTATCTAATTGGTGATCAAAACTTTTGTAATGTTTTTGGTGTCATACTGGACCTTAAGGGAAGATAAAACTCTGAGATCTATAATGCACCATTACTCGTGTTATTTACTACTTTTTAATTTGAAATGCCATTTTAAAGATAAAGCTGCTTTGCAGACCAAAGGTTGCAAGTCTTTTGTTTGACACTGTCAACATCTTTACTGTATCTCAGTATATAAATTGGCTCCTACCAACGTTACGAATTCTACAGGGGTTGCAAAGCAAACATGATCTCATCAAGTGAAACAGAAAGGTCATGGTATGGCTCCATTTCTCTTTAAAACAAACAAAAACTCCCAGTGCAGAGAACAGAGGTGAGGTGATAAGCACTTGATGGTAAACAGTAAGTGGAGAAGGAGAAAACAGTGGGGTAGTAATTAAGATATTTGATAAAATTGAGGAATAACCATCAGAGAGACTGTGTTTGGCTGCAGCCAAAGGAGTGAAACCATCACATTGATCAAAGAAAGTGCATCTACATACAGACAAACTGGTGTGTGCTGGTTAACAGTGGGGTGGGGGGGGGAAAAAAAATCTCTGTATCAAATCTGGATGTTTAATTCATAAAATAACTTGACCAGATTGACCAAAAGTTAGCATTATCAGACTGAGTGCCAGTTTCTTTATGTTGAGTAATCCATCGGTGGAATTTAAGCCAGTCAGCTGTTGAAATGTTTGGGGATAATTACAAAAGTAATATTTCAGCAATTCAGTGCTACTGTGTGTTAATTAAACACTAAGAATTGAAAACAGGTAAATCATCATAAAAGTCTAGATTCTTAAAAGGTCAGCAGTTCCACTCATTTTCTGTAACATATAATAACAAATGCTGTTCCTGAATATCAACATTAATATGGTTCAACAATTGCAGCTTCAAACTGGTTCAGGTACAGCCAATGTTATTTTTTGTGTCCATAGTGACAAAATTAACTGGTTTAAATGTATTAATTTATTGCATCTAAATATTTCATGTTCAATCATGGATTGGAATTTAGAATTCTTATGGTCAATCATTATTTTTTGCTTTTTTTTATTAGTACAAGAGGGGAAAAAGTAAAATAATGTTTGACTTGTAAGCAATTTCACAGGTTTTCTGCTGATCTAATATAGGAAAGTTGTTAAATTTCTCATCACCTTGTGAAACCAGGTCATCTAGCTAGATATGCTCATTTCACTGCTTCGACCGAGAAATCTGTTTTTAATGTGTGAGCTATTGGCCTCAAGGGGAGAAAAAACCAGCAAGACTTCTCTGCAAAGACCTCCTTTGTTTTGAATAATGTCTGAATGAATTCTGAATTATTTAAATTTCTTCCAGTGTAAATCATTCTGTTCCTTAATGATAATACAGCGTATATTTTCCTCTCTTAGATCAGGCATGCAATGAAAGAACTTTCTCAATTTTATGGTATGCGAAAAATGAGAGAAACTGTAAGGATATAATTTGAGATATGGCTTTTGCCCAAAAGAAATTACATTCTTAATGAATGCTATCCTGTTTCCATATCTGTCTGTAAAATTATGAGTACGTACTTCTTTTAGAAATGTTCCTGAATTATTGCTTCTGTGGTGGATGTATTTCAGTTACGTTATGATTTTGGCCTCTACTGCCATTCTGCAAAGTTATTTGTTACTTATGTTAACTTCTCTTTCTAATGCTGCTGTTCCCATAAACAAATTGTCTTGGATGAAATCGTGGATCTCTGTAGGGTTTGTGTAATTTGCATGCTTCAAAAAACAGTTGTTCTGGCTCATGTTTTGGAGCTGTGTAGTTATCTCTGTACAAGTCAATATGGTCGCTAGTATCTGAGAGAAATACTTCCCAGAAATATCTTAAATGCATTTTTTTTTCCAAGTTTAGACTAGAATCAGAATTAATATATTTGTTTATTTATTTACACTCTTTTCTCCCATGTGCAATCAGATGGTTGGAAAACATCTGCTGCTCCTACTCAAGTTTTTGACCTCACCAGTTTCCTAACTAATCTTTGGTTCAGCAAATTCATCTTTACAATTTATTTTCCTACTGATTCTCCATCTTTTTCCAAAAATCAGTATTCAGTGCCAACAGTGGTGGAAAAAATGAGGTTTTTTTAACTTGTTTTGGTACTTCTGTGTATGTTTTATAAATGTACAGACCCTCTTCAGCATCTTAAGAACTTCAAGTCAAGCAGTTTGTAATGAGGAGAAATGACTTCTACGTCTGGCTGGTGCTTGCAGCAATTAATCTCTTTGTACACACATTATCTTAATTCTGCGTGAGATAGTATTTTTATTGCAATAGAGCTACTGCTTTGATTTTACTCACAGTGTTTAGCTTGCAGCAAATAGCTTTCTGCAAATCTAATGCTGGGACAGAAAAAGATACAGTGAGCATTTGTGATGCACGCCTAAAAAATGTATTGAGCTGAGGCAATACATTGATTCACATTTCCTAAATTTGGAGGTTTTGCCTTGGTAATATTTCTGGTTTTATATGCACAGGTGTGTATATCTGTGTACAGTACATGCTAAGGAGAAACATCATAATCCTATTGAAGTAAATAAGAATTGGCTATTCAGTGAGGTGAGGATTTTGCCAGCTTTATAGCATGTCCACAGCCTCCTCGTCTTTTAATGTCATCCCCCTAACTCCAGATTTAAAGTGCCCCTCATATGAGGAAGTTTTGTGGAGGAAGGAAGGCAAGGACATTTGTTTTGTCAAAATGGAGTTTATTCCTTGTGTCATAATTGCTAAATTTTTCGTAAAACCCTATCTGCAATCTCAAATTAATGTGCAGTAAAAGACAAAGACTTCAGGAAAACAAAGTTTTTAGGAAAAGCCTGATGAAAAATGGGGAAGTCATCATTAAAATGGCCGAATGTCCAGTCCAAGTACTGTATATGCAGGTGGGAAACGTGATATAAGGAACTCTGCTCATCCCAAGGTTTCTAAAGCTTCTAAAATATATTAATGTTATTTCAGCTGGGAAGTTTTGAGATTCCTTCTGTCTAATTTGAGAATGTGGCTTGAAGACTATCGTTTTGATGGCTTCCGATTTGATGGCGTTACATCGATGTTGTATCACCATCATGGAATTGGTGAGTAGTTTAATCGACACTAATCTGAGCAATCCAGTTGCAGTTCTGTTGGTGTGGAAATAATATTGCAAAAGGTCACTGAATGGTTCAAAAATTCCAGATTTGATGATACCTTGTTGTGCTATTTGGACAGATCTGAAATGATGAATAAGTTTGGTGCTTATAAAATTGCATATTGCAAAATATCTGTGCTTTAAAAAAAAAATATTGCCGTGGCCTTTAAAAAAATTGCATATTGTAAAATATCTGTGCTTTTAAAAAAAAAAATTACTGTGGCCTTTAAAACTTCTTGTGTCTTATTAGGCACAGGATTCAGTGGAGATTACAACGAATATTTTGGCCTACATGTGGATGAAGATGCTTTGTGTTATCTAATGCTGGCCAACCACATGATTCATTTATTGCATCCAGAATGCATAACCATAGCAGAGGTAAGAGCAGAATTTGCCATCCTCAGTGATAGTAATATTGATTAGTTTGCTTTGGGATGTGAACTTCCTGTTAATTATCGAATTACACTTCGGGTAATCAAGAAGTGACAGGAGCTGAGAAATATTAATTAGTGGACAGACTTTGCCTTGTGGGGAAAAAAACCAACTGGAATATGCTCTTTGGGAATTTTCTCTGCATTAATGGGTCATTAATTAATGTGGAAATTTCTTTCTCCTTCCCCCCCCCCCACTTCATCTCTTTGAACTTGTAATGAGATTTGCTTTCATTAGTTTACTGCTTTTGCGTGATTGCCATTTGTCACTAGTGCTTCATGGTACTAAAGATTAACAGCCTTAGTGTGGTTTTGCATATTTTGAATTATATTGGCATAACTGACAATTACCCTTCAAAATAAATGTGATAAATTTATAAATGATGAATGTGTATGCTAGTTTAAACTTAATACTAAGTTTCTCCAGTTTTCTGAGGGAGTAAATAAACTATATTACTTGAGTTGATGGAAATCAGTTAAACTTTCTTGACTGGAGAATATTATTGTTAGTGCATGGAATTTTCAATAATATGCAACACCAGAGCATTAAATTTCTATGAACAGGTACATTTTCACTGATATTTTATTTTTATCTAAAAGAGAAAAGAATATAAAACATAAGGATTTTTCTGTTATTAGGTTCAAATATTTATTTTTGTTTAAAAGAAGTTGCATCTATTTTATATCATTAGAGATTATACAGATTTCTAATAAAACTTTTGGTATTTCTTAAGAGTTCCTTATTTATCTTCAGAAAACAAAATACTGCTTAAATTCATTTCTTACTTAGTGTTTTGTATTATAGACAACCACTGCTAAAAGCTTAATGACAAGCTATCAAAAACAGCATCTGATGAGCAATTACTAGTGAACTTGAGATAATTTCGTTGAGCTGTTGGCTTCTTTGAAATGAAATTTATTCATTTTCTTAAATTATAAGCTTTTGTACCAACGAAATTCTGAGTTTAGTCTGCTAGTATTACCTGGCCTAAGAGTTCTTTTTTTAATAAGGTTTGTCTTCAGTTTCTCTTGCTTGAGTTGAAAACTGTTTCTGTTTAAATACATCATTTTTGTGCCTGGGGAAGTTGTTACACAGAATATAGAATTGATCAATGTGCTGCATGGTTAAAGGAGAATTTCAGGAGGAGAAACTGTTGACATAATTGAAAATTACAAAAGGCAGTGAAGAATGTCTGCTTGGCTGTAATGATGATGGAATGAGTGCCACATGAGAAAAATGTTTTTGTCTAGCCATAACTAATTATAATGTATTCTTTAATTGTTTAACTGATAATTTTTACAGCTTGTTAATATTCTGTATAGTCACTGTCTTAATATTTTCGAAGTTTTTAGATTTTACTGAGTGTATGCTTTTTTTTTCATTTTGACCTTCTAAATATAGCTGTGATTAAAGTTTTGTATAATGAGAAGAAAAAAATTTAAGTGAAATTACATCATGCCTGAAGTGTTAGAAAAACTAACAGGCAAAAAACCCCCTACTGCTGTGATTTCTGCTTGGGTTTTTTTGTTTGGTTGTTTTTTTGGGGGGTTGTTTATATATATATATGTAACTAGTTTCAAACTAAGGTTTGAACAAGTACTTACACATTGGCTGTTTACATTTAGTGGAAAATATACTGGACAAACTAACTGATTTTTATTTTGTGTGTGTGTTCAGGTAAAATCTGTAGATACAGAGATATAGATACATACAGATAGTATGAAATTTGGAATTTTACTTCCCAAAAAATCTGGCTTTCAAAATGGTGACTAAAGTAGATGGGAGCTACTTCAACCTCAATCAGACCTTGTCCAAGGAGACATCACAGCAGCACAGAGAAAAGCTTTTGGTTTAGATCATCTTCTCCTGCATAACTTGGAGAGCATTAGTCTGATTTTCTCCTAAGCCAGTCAGAAAGGATAACTATTCAACTTCCTTCTGAAAGTTTGGAAAGAATTTCTGCTTCAGTATTTGGTATTTACAGCATGTGGAATGTGGATGCAGTTTTCTATGCGATCTGATGACTGCTGAGTAAAGGGAGCTAATCCCCTCCTTTGATCTCCTGGCTTTGCTGTCCACACAGCCCAGGATGTTCTGGCCACCTCTGCTGCCAGCCCAGGCTGCTGGGCCCTGCTCAGCTCGCTGCTGGCCCTGAGCCCCAGGCCCTTCCCTGCAGAGCTGCTCCCTGCCTGGCACTCGCCAGGTCAGTCAACCCCCCGTGCCCCACGCTGGGAGCCAAAGGCTGTGGTGGTGGCACTGGGCTGCAGCCAAACCCAGCTGCTCACTCACTCCCCACCCCAGGTGACAGGGGAGAGAATTGGGGGACAAGGGGAAGGAGACTCGTAGGGTGAGATGAGAACAGTTTAATCATTGAAACAGAACTTGAAATAATACTAATATCAAAATAATAATGATAATAAACTATGCAAATGAGTGACACCCAGTGCCATTGCTCACCACCCACCCACCAAGCCCGGCCTGTTCCCAGATCATGATCCCGCAGGAGCAACAATCCCGACCCGAAACCGCAATCCCGGGAGAACCAGAGCCCAAGCCAAAGCCAGAGAGAGCAAGAGAGGAAGAGCCCCTCATGGATCTCCTGCCCACGGGGGACAGGAGATGGAACAGCCCCTTGGCAGAGCCCAATGCCCATGGAGCTGATCCATTGCAATATTCCTCACCCCTGAGATCTTGCGCTTGCAGACGGACAAACACAAAGTCCTTCGTTGCCAGGGACACAAATGCAACATGGGGATGTTCTCAGCGTTTCTCTCCTAACGAATCCCAGCTGAACCCAACCCCCAGCGCTGTTCCAGCTACTGAACAGAACCAGCTCTGGCCCAGCTCACACCAGGACACCCTTCCAGGGGCAGGATTTGAAAATTCCCCTTGCAGAACTCCCTGAACTTGCTGTTTATCGATTCCTCCAGCCAGTCAGGGTCCCTCTGGATGGCAGCTCTGCCTTCCACCCCCTGGATGCCATCCATGAGCTTTGTGATGGTGTGGTTGCTCTCGTCCCTTACGTCAGTCTGTGTGGTGTATGTGTATGTATGTTGAACTTCAAGTGCCAGTATCTTTTTCACTAGTCGAATGCAGCAATTGTACTGAAAACTGGATTGGATCCAGAAAACCAGAATGAGCTTCCTAATTAAGCCCTGGTTCTAGTCAGAATTTAATTCCATAAATTCTCTTGTGTAGACGTAAGAGGTGTGTGTTAATCCATAACCACTGTGGTGGAATGGCTTCTCACTGACATCAGTTAATAAAATTGAGTACTGACAGGTATTTTGCGATTATTGGAGATTTGCATTTTCTATACAGATAAGCTAACTTTAGAAAAAGCATACTATGTGACATAATTGCCTAATAAAATGATTAAATAAATATTTGAAGAATTTGGGATTATAGATTTAAGAATGATCAGGCTCCATCAATATGAAAATGGAAAATTATGCAGTAAGAACATGTCACTTTCCAGGGCTGGCTGGATCAATAGTTTTTGTGCATTTAGAGAAAGAGTAGAGATTGTATTTTTCTTCTTTATTGTGCTTTATATCCAGCCTTTTATTTTTATGCCATTCTTTATGCAAAATATCAATAAACAAAATGAAGGTTTAATTTGTCTTTTGTTGACTACTTTCTACTTTCTATTGATTACTTGGAACTCGAGAGCTAATTATTTTAAATTTTGCATCTACTGAGCTCTCTTCCCCCTCAAATATCTACTCTATTAAAATGTTTTGTAGTAGAGTATTTGATGAGAAAAGTCATAATGCTTTTCCCTGTAATTTTTGCATTCAAGCAGCAAATCTGGATGTAGTAATTTTGGTTGTTTTCTCCCTTACCCAGATCAATCTCTGAAGCTGTTTATAGTTTAGAGTGTTTTATAGAAACATTACTGTACGGTAGAAAATCTGAACTAATAATTGCAATGCTATGCAAATTATGCTGTGGTTTTTTTGTTGTTTGTTTTGTTATTATTATTTAAGGATGTTTCTGGAATGCCAGCTCTTTGTCGTCCCGTTGCAGAAGGAGGAGGGGGTTTTGATTATCGACTTGCCATGGCTATTCCAGATAAGTGGATACAGGTGAGACCTTCTTTAAAAATCCCTTCTGCTCTTCAGAGTAGGATGTTCCTCTGTGTGTGCACACACAAAACTGAAACTGGGCATAGTAATAAGCACTGGACATAGATAGAGCTGAAAGTTTAAGCAAAGTAGACATGAATTATACAAACACCAGCAATCAGTACAAAAAGAATAATAAAAAATCTGTAGATGCTCTTCAAGAGCAATAATATACTAATAAATACTGACTACGATGAGGATTTTAATCACCTTTTCCTTAATACAGAGAATCACAAAAGGAGAAATAAAACACTAAATGATCTCAAAAGGCTTCTACTGATGTATTAGAGTGTTTTTCAGTTAGAGAGAAGATTGCATCCAAATCCCTCGGGCTATCGTGACGATCTGAAAACAATAAATGTTTTATATGAGCATTAATGCTTCAATAAATGTAGTGAAAAGTTAATTTGCTTTTTATTTTAAGCTAATCTTCAGCTTCTTTCACTTTTGTGACTAGGAGGGAGAGGGCTGGTTGAAAAACTGTTTTCTAGCCTTGTTTCATTCAGAAGACAAACTTACCAGCTTTTCCAACAGGGACAGCATCCATAAACTTTGAAGTGTATGATTTAGATCCTGGAATGCAGTGAGGGCTCATGGTTTTGTAGTAACAAGAAATACCTTGTTGTGATGGCTTTTTAATTTTTTCCTTACACCATCAATGTAACTGCTGTGGTCCACTTACTTATTTTAATTTGCAATACTTGGAGGAAACATACTTATCCTGTAGTAAGTTCCATTCTTTAACTGGAGAAAAAAAATCTTCCAGCCTAGAGCATGGACTGAACATGGGACAGGAGGTGGATGCTTGACACACTGATGGGATGTTGGGAATAAATTCAGCTGTGATGGTCTAGACTGTTTCTCCAGTTATTTAAGAATGTATTGCTTGTACAAGAACATAGGGTGATGCAGACAGGAAGCTTCTAGCTAAGAAAACTGCAAATAAGCAACCACAACAAAAGACCTTGAGGTGGAGAAAGAAGTGGTGCTCGTAGCTTGTTACCACATTTCTTAAGGCAAAAATAAAACTGACGTGATTGGCAGGGAAAAGTTTGGGAACAGTCTTATCAGCTATTGTGGAACAGTCCTAGACGGCTTGAACATAAATAGCTTATTTCTCTCCAGCTATTAAGTATGTACCTGTGAATAGCAGATTTTCTAGGGAACCTCCTAAAATCAATTTTAAACCTGAAGGTTCTCAAGGGTTCCATGAACTAATTCTGAGTGATCTGTAAAAGTAAGATGAGCTGTTTGTCATGACAGTGGCTGTATGAGTTCAGATTAAAGATAGATATAGTACAGAATATGATGCTGCATAGAGATCTGAATGTGTTCAGAGCCTGAATTGATAAAGAAAAAAAAAAAGCTGTTTAGATGTACATGGCCAGTTACAATCAGAAAGACAAATTCTACAGCATCATATCACATCTTGGTGTTATTACCTTTTTCTCACTTTTATTTGATGTCTATATATTTACATATATGTATTTAAGTTGTAGGGATCAGTGGAGGTCTATAAAGTACTGTAGAAAAAAGAAAGGGTTAACCCTGAAATTGGACTGGATTTGCAAGAGGGAGGAAATAGTGTATCATTGGGGAAGGGTTTAGAAGGGAAATAGTATGAGGGGAGGCTGAAGTCACTTGGTTTGTTCAACCTGGAGAAGAGGAGACTGAGAGGAGATATGGGGGTCTAGAACTTCCTCCCAAGGGGCAGAGGAGGGGCAGGCGCTGATCTCTTCTCTCTGGCCACCAACGAATGCCAGGAGCAGAGGCAGTGGCAGGAAGATGTGGCAGGGGAGGGTGAGGTTGGCCATGAGGAAAAGGTTCTTGAGGCAGAGGGTGGTGGAGCACTGGAACAGGCTCCCCAGGGAGGTGCTCATGGCACCAAGCCTGACAAGATTCCAGCAGCATTTGGCCAACATGTGCCCTCAGGGACATGGTGTGAATGTTGGGCTTGTCCTGTGCAGGGACAGGAGTTGGACTGGATGATCTTTGTGGGTCCCTTCCCACTCACAACGTTCTATGAGGCAGAAAATTCCTATTGATGTGATTTTAAATTAAATTGATAAAAATCAGGAGCTAGAATGGTACAAAAATGTAAAGCTTGTTTTGTATTACAAAGCTTGGACATTGAAACTGGTTTGGAACTGACCAGGAATTCACAGATCAGGGGAACATGCAGGTCCCTGCGCTAAGCACCTTCACACATTATCGTGTACTTCATGGCAACAGCGTAGTGCTGTCTTGCAGTCATCTGTTCTCTACCACACAGCCCGGTGGTTAAGCTCGAGTTGGAAGCTGCCATATGCCAGGGTTGCTTGAAACAGAGAATTTCTTTCAATATTGTGTGTAGGTAGGTGTGTGCCCATCTATTTCTTCCCGGGTTTTGGTGCAGTGCTTTCTTGCAGCTGCTATTGATCACATTGCCTGCTGTATCAGAGGATTCATGTGATAGATTGCAAGTCCTGTTGTTCATGTTTACATGTGGAAGTACAGGAGAAAAAAGTGTTCTACTTGTTATATTTATGTAATATTCAAAAGGAAAAATCCCTTTGGATTGTCAGAGGAAGCTTATCACCTCAAAACATGGGAACAGGAGGAATTAAATAATAAATAAAGTTCATAATCCACTGGAAATTTCCGTGCCAAGGTAAAGGTAGTGATGTGCTTTTAGCTAAAACAGCAATAACTTTCCAATGATCTTTATTTCTGCAGATAATTAAGGAGCTGAAAGATGAGGACTGGAATATGGGCAATATTGTTCATACGTTAACAAACAGACGATATGAAGAAAAATATATTGCGTATGCAGAGAGCCACGACCAGGTATTTTATCTGTTTGTTTGTTTATAAGCAAGTAAAAGATGAGGTTCAGAGGTTTGGTAGGTTTTGTTTTATGAAAATGAAGCAAGAGTTGAGAAGGATAGGCAGCAATTTCAGTGACAGGTAGATCTGGACTACTGCTCGGTTTCTGGTTGGATTTTCTTGTGAGTTTATTTTGTTTTGATCCTTCTTTTTCATGAAGGAATCGTGCTTGGAGTAGGTGGGTGTTGTTATTTTTACATTTTGGAGTGTTTTTTAAGAAATGAGTCCTAGCTTGTTGCTTTGCCTGCCTGTCATAGAACATGGGAAGGCATTTAATCCTTATTTTTGAAAATTTGGTTTCCATAAAGGAAGCTGGAACACTATTTATGATAAGTGTAAACAATCTCACAATTTAGCAAATTTGTTTGCTAAATCAGAGTTTGTGACTGTTGTATTCCCTTTGAGAAAATGTTTCCTCTCTGACAGGATTGCAAACATCCTCTTTTGAGATTTAAATGAAATATTCTTTAACAGTTTGGTTCAAAACACAGTAATTGTAATGGTTCTGTATACAAAAAAAAGAAAAGGAAAAGTAATGACGAGTTTGACTAACACTCATCTCCCACAATCTTTGTAATGGTTTTCTGAAGGATTAGAAAACACATTGGTTGAGAATTTTAAAATTAGGAACTTAAACCTTTTATTAGATAATGGATTTTTTTTTTCTAAGTAACCTACCTTCAGCTCTTGCCTGTACATCATAGAGGCTGAAATTCTCTTTTTATCTTCTATGGTAAAAGTCAAGAAAAATGTCCAAAACGAGGCCTATATTTTATTTTATAAAGAGAATTCTGAGTTTCTCAGCTTTGTGTACCTATTTACATTGTTATCTCAGAGACTGTTATGCAGTGTTTGCTTAAGGCATGAGAGAAGAGTCGCAATGCTGGTAAAGAACTTCAGGTATTACTTGGAAATGCATATTATTCCATGATAATTTGCTTTTATAAAAGCTGATTCTTCATCTTAAAGCGTGACATATAATATTGCTATTGCTGTTGTTTTATTTCATGCTGGATTTTATCAATTGACTTGTTTTCTATTTCACTATGTATTTTTGTTTTACAATATCATACATGGGATACAAAGCTGCAGTAATCAAACTGGGGTCATTGTGGTCCGGAGGCCACCAAAGAGGTGAAGGGTTTAGAGGGGAAGGGTATGAGGAGAGGATGAAGGCGCTTGGTTTGTTCAGCCTGGAGAAGAGGAGACTGAGAGGAGATCTCATGGGGGTCTAGAACTTCCTGCCAAGGGGAAGAGGAGGGGCAGGCGCTGATCTCTTCTCTCTGGCCACCAACGAATGCCAGGAGCAGAGGAAATGGCAGGAAGATGTGGCAGGGGAGGGTGAGGTTGGCCGTGAGGAAAAGGTTCTTGAGGCAGAGGGTGGTGGAGCACTGGAACAGGCTCCCCAGGGAGGTGCTCATGGCACCAAGCCTGACAAGATTCCAGCAGCATTTGGCCAACATGTGCCCTCAGGGACATGGTGTGAATGTTGGGCTTGTCCTGTGCAGGGACAGGAGTTGGACTGGATGATCCTTGTGGGTCCCTTCAGCTCACAATGTTCTATGATTCTATGACCAAAGGATCATCAGCAGTGGCAGGATGTTTTCGTTGTGGACAAGAGGCTGTATCGTGCACAGTGAACCATCTCCTTGACTACTCACCAATCATCCAAGTCTTTCCCTTACAATATAGACTGCCTGCTTTTAAAAAAAAACAAAAAAACAAAAAACAAAAAAAAACAAAAAAAAAGTGAGAAACACTTTTAGTACACTCAAGAGTTTCTTTTTTTTTCTTTTTTAACTCTTTTAGGCACTTGTTGGTGACAAGACGTTGGCATTTCGACTGATGGATGCGGAGATGTATACGAACATGAGCGTGCTGTCGCCTCTTACTCCAATTATTGATCGTGGAATACAGCTTCATAAAATGATTCGTCTCATTACTCATGCACTTGGAGGAGAGAGCTATCTGAACTTCATGGGTAAGTAATCTCAGGAACAAGTCTTTCATTTTCTCATCTACAGAATGCATGGCAGGGAAATAAAATGATCTGACATCATCTTACATCCACAGTATTTAACCCAATGCTGAAGTTTGGATCGTGCTGATGTAACGATTCGGTACAAAACGTGACAGGCATTGTTTTTGTGTCTGTAAGATGTATTTATTATAAGACAAGAGAATAAAACCGATGTGGTTCCGAATTCTAACAGGAATAACTTTTTGAATTGCCGTCAGCTCTAGTGCAGGTTTCTCTGGTTTCCAATTCAGACCAGTGTTTCAGTTGTTGTTCTGCAAGTTTCCTTGTTGTGTCAGTTCCCCTTGCCTTACACAGCTGGCTTGTCTTCCGTCTCTATTCTTCTACTCTCCTAAACTTTTTAGGGTAACAGTGAATTTACTAAAGATAGCTCTGCGCCTGCTTGTTATTAATTGTCAGGAGGTAATGGGGAATCAGTTGAGGTGTGTTTCATTGCCTCTCAGTGAAGAGCAGAGGCTTGATGAGGTGGGTAAGGAGATCAGAGGCACGTCCTGCATCAAAGTGAGGAAATAGGAAGAGTTAGCAATACTGTCTTTTTGTGTGCTCTGAAGTACAACTGTTGCATTGCTTCCTAAGCTCTATTGCTACAAGAATGTCCAATAGTTAATTTAATTTCATCAGCATTTTACAGTTCCATGTAGTCATCTTAAAAGTTGAATGTTGTTCTTCGTTTTATACAAGATGCTGAAGCTGTTTATGCTGAATGCTCTTTACCATATTCACTTTTCTTTATTTCTTTGCAAAATAATCCTTACTTTATAGTAAAAACCACAATTCTGTAATGTGATATGACAAGTTCTGTAAATGGTCTCATGGGAAAAAAAGGCTGAAAGTGTGCTGTGAATGACCATCTCAGTTTTCTGGCAATGAAACACTTGAAAATTAGAGAAGATTTAACTGAGATTACCTTTAATTTTTATTGTTAAATGTTTTGTATTAAGTTAAAGGTTATTGTTGGATGCATATTGCCCTTCCTCCATGAGTATAATTTAAAAATATATATTTCTAATAAAAAAACTGAAGAACATCAGTAAGGCAATGGTGGTGGTTGATGTAAGCATGTCTGTCCTGATAAATTTTCTCTGCCTTGGTATTAGAAGAACACTCAAAAAATTAGATACCATCTTTGTGGGTTTTCTTAAAAAGAATTAAAGTAACTTTAATACAGTATAGAACAAATCAGTTCAGTGTATGGTCAACTAATAAAATCATTGTTTCCAGTAAAATGCAGAAATCTTTCCCAGGAGTGAAGAAGAGTTAATGAAATAAATATTTCTGAAGTATGTAGTCAGGCACCAAAAATCTGCAAGGTATGATGTGTGTGTGCACTTCCGTTCAAACCAGTGATGCTACAATAGTTAAGGAAGCAGATGTTTTTAAAAATGTGCCAGCTAAACTGCAGATGTCTCTGCCCCACATTGACTTGGGAAGGTTAGAAAAATGATCAGTAATTCAGTGTGGCATGTTAAATCCCGTGTGTCAATGCAGGTTGATTGAGCAATTAATATTGTGTATCCTCGAGTACCTCAGATGTTCCAGTAACTGCATTACAGTTTGCTATATGGAAAAGGTGAGAAGATTGGAATAAATGGTGGAGGAGGAAACATATAAATTCAGAATGCTTGCAAGCCAGTGTACTTAAAATGCATGTTGCAGTGTGCTAGCTGGTTAAGCAAATACAGGGACAAATGAGTTCTTTAGCAAATGCTGAGGACGAGGAAGAGAAGCCTCCTGTGGGATGGAGGGATCCTTTCACAATGCCTGGATACCTCTGCTTCCCAAGATCCTTACATAAATGTCTCCTAGCTTTTTTTTTTTTTTTCTAAAAACGAAGATGCCAACGCAACACGCTGCTTTCTTAGTGCTTTGCTCACCTTAAAGAAAAACAAACTGCTTCTAAAAAATGCTGTGGGCAGACGAGGTGCTCAGGGACGTGGTTTAGAGGTGGCATTGGCAGTGTTGGGTTTATGGTTGGACTTGGTGATCTTGAAGGTGTGTTCCAAATACTGTAACTTTATGATTCTAGAATAATTTACTGGCTTCCTTCTTCATTTGAAATGGGCTTAAACTCAAATCTGTTGATTTAAATGGAGATTAGTTCCTACATGAACCTCTAGCACTATTTTTCATGATTTTTCTATAGTAAAGCAGCTCTTAATTAGGACTCCAGAGACCACATCTCTCTCCCTGCAAAACAACTTTTTTATGTATAGAAGCTAGAAAATGATTTGCAGTAACTAAGAACACTTTTTCCAGTCATGAGAGTTGACTGATGGTGTTACTGTTTGGGTTGACATTTACCTCTGTTTCACTAATATCAAATTTATCTGTAAAACTTCCTTTTCTCACTTGTTTGTTCATTTACACAGCAGTTTATCTACCTTCTCCATGCTTCATGGTTTTTTTGGATGAACTGAAACACTTTCTTCTCTAATGATGTGGTACGATGAGACCTTGTTCTCTCTTTGGCCTTAAAAATAAAATAAAATCAAATTCTATGCATCATCTATTCCTTTGAGTATTTTGGAGAGAGGAACTTAGATTTATTTATTTATTTGTAAACTAAAGGATTTTGTAACATAAGGCTTTCAAAAATAAGTTGACAAACAAGAAAAGGAATGGTGTGAAAACTCTCAGTAGCACCAATATCACAGTGGAAAATGTGCATGCAATTTAAGAATATTAATTAAAAATTTGAAATAAAAATGATACAACATAACATACCATATAAATGGGAATGCTACTTAAAACAGAATCTGAAATACAACTTTTATTGCTACTTTAGATAAAATAGAAGTTTTAGCAGGAACAAGAATATTTAGGTTAAAACTAAGAAGGTTTTGTTTTCTTAAACATATTGCAAGCAAATAACTTTGAATTTTTACACTTTCTGTACATTTTTTTTTAATGCTTATTACTCCTGTGCACTGGTTACAGTGTGTCTTCTTAGACCATGACCTAAAAAATGGCCTCGCAAGAGCAAATACTTTTAAACCAGCTCCCTTCAGTCAACTCTTCTTGATAAACAACCTTAAAATATTCAGTTGGTAAAGACTGCAGATCAGGATATGTAGTTTGAAGTCATCCTTCTCAATATGCTTACCTAGTACCTGGCAAATGTGCTTTCTGGGCTGCCAGTTCTACCAGGTGCTCTAATTTCATGGCAGTCTGACAGAAAAAAAAAAATTATCTTCATTTTTAAGGCAGAAAATGAAGAATGTAATCTGAAATGTTACCTACGTTTGTCATAGAGTTCTTGTTCTGTCGTGATAGACCATCTACAACCTTGTTGAATGCATGTGTCCCCAGTCACAACTTGGGACAGGCAGTGGCAAAGGGAAAAATCCAAATACATGGATTAGGTTTCATTAATTGCTTTGAGAGTCTCTTCCAGAAGGTCTAGGGATGCAGACTGTTTGTCTTTGCTGTTCATTTGGAGTTGATAGAAACAAACTTCACTTCTACAGTTTCTCAAAACACATTAGAGTGACTGGGAGAAAAGCAATTAAAGAGAGAGACTGTCTCATAATTTAAAACTAAACCACACGCACACAAACCTGTCTCATTTTCCTTCTGTCACACCTTCTCTTCACAAATTGAGTATATCCAAATACTAGAAATCTGTTGTGGAAGACTGAAGGTTGAATCTGTTGTGGGATGACTTAGTTGTACTTCCTCCTTGAGAGGGTAGGGAAGAAAGCTCCATACATATATATATATATGTAATTTAAATGCATGGTTACTAGCTGCAGTCTACATATGTGGCGGTGCATCAGTGTCCACGCGATGGCTTCTCAAGTCAGGAACCTTGAAACAGAAGCCTTCATAGTCAACAGCATCCTCTGAACTGCTTAAGGATCAACAGTTGGTCCAACTGTGTTCATGGA